TGTGTCGAACTGTCGCCTTTTTATAGCGTCAACATCGGACTCGATGACCAATTAGTGCTTACTGAACTGTAGCACTATGCAAATGTCATGTGGCATGATTCCCGGTCGACCAATTAGCCATCACCAGCCGTAACGTTATGCAAATCTGTGATTCCCAAGCCATAGTCTTATGCAAATCATGCCGTGTGGTGTAATTGTCTGCAGACCAATCAGTGGCTGTACTTTCAAAAAGCCAACGGCTACTTTCAACCATCTGTCGATGACCGTTACGACTAAAAAAATCTTCGCTAGGTCTTACTTTCCGGGGGAGGTCTTATATTTCGCAATTCAGCAAAATTTGTGCTAGGTCTTATTTTCTGCGGATGTCTTATTTTCGGGGAAACACGGTAGTACAATATAAATACAACCTCACCATAAACTGGAACTGTAGAGTTGCAAATCACACCTAAATTCAAACTTTCCAGCAAAATAAAAGTCCAAAATTTAAAAATCAAACGTTTTCGGCCACTAACTTTATCGGCCTTCCTCAGGAAATACAAACTGAAAAAAACCATTCTATAAATAGAACGTAGCTGCCTTGTAAATTTTTAAAAGAACAAAAATGACTGTGATGTATCATGATTGCAAATAATTTAAATGTACTCCTTACCTATAGAAGGAAACCCAGCATTTTCTGCCTTCTCTCAAACGCGAAGGACAGCACGGAGGATGCTCTGGCTCCTGGGATTTATCACATCTCCCTACATGATGAGCGGTTTGACAGATTACTATCTTACATAGGATTCACATACAGATCACTACAAGCCAGACTAAAGAATCACAAATATGACGTGCTAAAAGGTAACATCGATATGACTTTAGCACGATATGCCAGTGATCCGGGGATTTTTCCCTGTTGAGACCAGGCCAAGGTAATACACGAGGTCTTTGACAAGCAAAGTAAAAAAATTTTAGAAGTAGTGGAACCTGCATCAACACTGATGTCATTCATGTATCATCTGCATGGAAACACTATCTAGACTTATAACATATGTCATACACAATACATCACAGCTGTTTTTTGTTCTTTTAAAAATTTACAAGGCAGCTACATTCTATTTATAGAACGGTTTTTTCAGTTTATTTCCTGATGAAGGCCGATAAATTTAGTGGCCGAAAACGTTTGATTTTTAAATTTTGGACTTTTATTTTGCTGGAAAGTTTGAATTTAGGTGTGATTCGTTACCAGTACAATGTCTTATGAGAGCTATAAGATATAGTATTTGAGATTTTTCATATCTGGCAACTTACAAGAAATTTCATTAACTTACGGTACAAAGTGTTTTTGAATCCAAGTGTGTTGGATCATCATGCTGAAACCACATATGTTCTCAGATTGTGAAAGCACAACCTCTAGCAGCTCAGAAGGACATTTTTCAGAAAATGTCTGTATATGTACTGTTCAGTATTGGGAAGCAAAGTGAAGTTCAGTCAAATAATCATGTATTATATCTGCCTATATATCAAACTGATAAGAATGACACAGGAATGCATGTGTATTTTCCTCATCCTAAATGTGGCTGTTGAACATTCCCTGATTTGAGAAGCATACTTTGTGTGGGTACAGCACATAAGCTGGAAATTGCAAGTCTATTGTACAATACTAAAAGATGAATTTGCAAACTTAATTGTGTGAAAAATTGTTTGGTAGGCGTCCTTACAACTTCTGAGAATCATACAGATACAGCAGTTGCTTACATACAATGTTTCAAACAGTTTCATTACTTACATTTCAGTCATGTTCATCATGGAAAGTACTTAAAGAAGGGTTGTGGGCAAATGTATCCAAAATTATTTCTTTTACTTATTTTTAAATGTTCTGTTGATTACTGTATCTTGTTTAGAGACCTGGAAAGATTCAGTCTCTTGTAGTTGATTATTGTATTGACAAAAATGTGCCTGGAAAGGCTTTTGCAAGAAATATTTTTCTCCATAAAGTTATCTAGCAGCTTTTCTGTTACACTTAGCTATATCATATACAAGGTGCACATTAAAGTTGAGCCAGCTATTTAAAGTTTGGTTACAATACTTACCTAGGCATAATAAATTTGTGCCTATATAAATATTGCAAGTATGCCAAAAAATCATGATACAGGAAATCCTCATTAATTCAAGCTTGTGTAGTTTGAAATCCCATTAGTTTATAATTGTCCTTTTGTCCTGGCTGGGGATATACAGATTTACATGCTAAGGAATTCAGTTAATTTGAAATATGCTTATTTTAAAATTCAAAGTGAAAATTTTGTCTGAACTGTGATATGCATATGTTTAACTCGTTTGTTTAGATTGAAGGGTCTCCATACTATTAGAAAACAATAGACCAGCGATTCCCAAACTTTTTCGATCCACCGCCCCTTTGTTCCTTAACCCAATGCCCCCTAACCCATTTTCTCTTGTTTGAGAAAGGATTGAAACTATTCTTAGGAAAACTTTTCTATGAATCTCTCACACTTTGTGCCCTTATCGTACATTGTTCTCAACATCTGGAAACCATTAAAGTCGATGTTTCCTCTTATCAGTTTAACAGAGGAAAAGGAACGGCTTTCAGTGACCCCAATTTTGTCTTTGGTCACTGTTCAATACCCTGCCTCCAACGCCCCCTAGATTTACTCAATGCCCACAAGGGGGCATTATTGCCCACTTTGAGAAACGCTGCAATAGACCAATAATAACTCTAATCTAGTCAATATAGTTTTGCTTTTACAGTAATGTATTTTCAGATGTCACCTTACAAGGACTACCTGTTTTTTTTCTCTTATTTCATAAAATACAGCCTATTTTTAGAATTACAAGATTGGGCTGAGTTACAGATTGAGATATTTGTAAGGCTCTAGGCTACTAGATTTTGGTGACTTACTACTTTTTGGGCCATTTTAAAGATAATTTGGGCTACATTTTGAAGAAGTCTGCTTTACATTTTATAAAACCTATCTGACAACCTGTGGTGTTTTCATCTGCAGTTTATTTATATTTATATATAATCTTTACGAGCCAAAAATGCCTCAATCAACAAAATGGACTAACAGCGTATAAAACTGGCACAATAACAGAGGCTCATAACATGAGAGTTATGAAATTTAGCATCATCCCTGTTGTGCATGTATCTGTAGAAACACAAAATCCATCAGATCTTCCAAAGTTGATTGAAGGTTTGAAGAGATTAGCAAAATCTGATCCTATGGTTCAGTGTATAATTGAAGAATCTGCAGAACACATTGTTGCTGGTGCCGGAGAGTTACGTCTTGAAATTTGCTTGATAGACTTGGAAGAGGATCATGCTTGTATTTCATTCAAAAACACTGATCCAGTTGTATCTTACCAAGAAAGTGTGTTAAAAGACTTTAGTATAATTTGTCTGTGTAAATCTCCTAATAAGCACAATTGTCTGTATATGAAAGTTATGCCTGTGTCTAATGGTCTTCCAGAGGACATGGATAAGAGCACTGTCAATCCAAGAGATGATTTTAAGGTTTAAGCTTGCTATTTATCAGATAAGAATGGGATGCTACTGAAGCATATAAAATTGGTGTTTTGGTCCAGAAGGAACAGGTCCTAATCCAGGCATGGCCAACATACGGCCTGTCTAATGAATTTATGTGGCCTGCGATCAATCTTTCAATATTAGCTACTCAAGTCTGAATAGCTCGATGAAAAATTCTGACACCTAAAACAGCCATTTAGAGTTAACCCTCCATTACAAATCTCGTAAGTACAGCGTAGAATGTTGATAAAGCATGATAATGTGAAAAATGTATCTGTAATCTCTATATACAATTTAGTCTTTACAGGGTGACACCACAATGATATCTCGCACCATCTCAAAATCTTCATAGGGCAGCCTCTGGTTCAGCCCGTGGAAAAAGTTCTCTTTCCAATTTGGCCCAGGAGCAAAAACTGTTGGCTACCCCTGTCCTAACCTCTTAGTAAATGTAACTAAAGGTGTTCAATATTTAAATGAAATCAAAGATAGTGTTATTGCTGGTTTCCAATGGGCTACTAAAGAGAGTGCACTATGTGAAGAGAATATGCAGGGTTTAAGATTCAACATCTATGATGTCGTGCTTCATGCAGATGCTATACATCGTGGCAGTTGCCAGATTATTCCAACTGCTCATAGATGTCTTTATGCTTGTGCACTTACAGCCTCCCCATGCATTATGAAACCAATTTATTTAGTAGAAATTCAGTCCCAGAAATGCTGTCAGTGGTATCTATGGCATTTTGAATTGTAGAAGAGGTCACATATTTGAAGAATGCAAGTTGCAGGAACTCCTATGTTCATTGTAAAAGCTTACTTGCCAGTAAATGAATCATTTGGTTTTACTGCCGATCTCCATTCCAATGCCGGCGGACAGGCATTCTCTCAATGTGTGTTTGACCACTGGCAGATCTTGCCCAGAGATCCAATGGACGGAAAGTTTCGCCCATACCAAATTGTCATGGACACAAGAAAAAGAAAAGGTCTAAAAGAGGCTCTTCCTGATCTTGAACAGTACTTGGATAAACTATAAATTATGTGAAGCTTAGACCAACATTCTGTTAGCCCATTTATACTTATATTATTATTATTAATTATTAACAGAATGCTTTCTTCTCAGTCCTATGTCCTTCAAAGGGCATGGTGATATTACAAATTGACAGGCTTTAATTGTATCTTTCTACAGCTCCTGGTGTTGTGCCATGTGGAGGGCTTCATACATTGTATATCCTGTAATCATCTTTACTTGGTCTGCCCACCTAATCGACATCTGCCTCTAGGGCATTTGCCATTGATCTTCCCTTCTAGGATTTGTTTCTCAAATCCATTTTTGTCTCTGGAAATATGTCCCAAGAAGTGAAGGTAGGATTGGTATATTTTAGTGGTAAGGCATGTTCTGATTTTCAGCTGATTTAGGATGGAGCAATTTGTTTGGTGTTCCATTCAGTATATTCTCAGCATTATTCTATATGTTCATATTTCAAAGGAATCAAGTTTCTTCCGAGAAGTGGCATTTATGGCAGAATCTTTCCAAATTCTAAATAATTTAGAGGTTGAATTGCAAGCAAGGCAAATTCTGCATTTAATTTCATTATTGGATCCTCCTTTATTTGTAAGATGTGATCCGAGGTAAACAAATTCATTCACCACCTTATAGTCTGCAATTTCCTTAGTCTGTGTCAAGGAATGATCAATTATCATAACTTTTGTCTTACTTCCATTAATCAGCAATCCATATTCTCTGCTCTCAGTTTTAAGACGTTTCATAATATATTCAAGTTCTGATTCATTGGATGTTATAATAAGTGTATCATCAGTGTATCTAAGGTTGTTAGCTTTAAGGTCCCTGACGGAAATGCCTCTGTCCCAGTTATCTAATACCCTTCTCGTGATTATTTCAGAATAAGCATTAAAGAGTAAAGTGGAAAGAATACATCCCTGTCTTACACCAGCTTCAGATGTAAATGTATTAAGACATAGTTTTGATAACTTTTACTCTTGTTAGAGTTATTCTCATATAAATTTCTTATTATCGAAATAAGATGGTGCAGGAGTGCAGGACTCCCGTGTTCTGGAGAGAGGGCCATAATTTGTGCCATTTTACACAATCAAAGGCTTTGGTATAGTCTACAAAACAAGGATAAGCTTTGACATTAAATTCTTAGGCTTTTTCAATGATTTGTTGAGTGTTCAAGATTTGTTCCTGAATTCCTTTACTAGGGATAAACCCCAACTGTTCTTCGGCTATTTCAGGTAATAGGAAGGGTTTCAAACGGTTATTAATTATTTGGAGCATTGTAATGGCATGGTTAATTAGGCTGATAGTTCTATAGTTATTATAGTCTGTTGGTGCAACTTTTTTACAAATTGGAATAAATATTGATTTACATCATTCCTCTGGCCATCTTTCAGATTCCCAAATTAAATAGCAGATTTTATGAAATATGTTAACACCCAGTTCTCCCATTGCTTTTAAAATCTTGGAGGTTATGTTTTCAGGTCCAAATTGAGAAGAAAGCATTCTGTATCCGTTACCATATTTTATTTTATTAATAAATTACATCAGTTACATGGCATTTTCATATTCTACAGAAATGTAAATTTCAGATAGTTTGAAGTTGTAATTATTTTGTCCCTTGAATTTTGAACTAATGAGGATTTCCTGTATCAGTTACTGACAAGATAGTCAACTATCCTTATATGACCTGGACAGTCTTAATGTAGAACTGAATGTCTTGTGACACAATTTTGCAACTGATTGTCTTAAAATGAGACTTTTATTGTAGTTATATTTTATTTTTACATATAAAGAATAAAAACCTACATGTGGCCACAAATTCAATTTAGTATATCATTTGTGTGTTCAGCTCAGCAACTATGCAGTTGTCAAGCATTGCTTTTGTTTTTATCACCAACTAGGACATGAGCAGTATTCTTGGAAAGGAACTGTGATTGGTTGATTACTCTGGAAGTGCTATATAGTCTGTTTCAAATATAACTTGTTTTGATTTTTATTTACTTTTGCTGAAATGAATATTTATACTATAAAGATTTACTCAATTGTATTCTCCTCTAAAATAGCATACAAAGATTCCTTAGTTTTTTTATAATGACTGTTGGTAATATATAAATTTATAATAAAAAGCAAATGCTAATTCTATGCATGTTTTCTACCTTTAATCCCTACATTTTGGCTGTCCTGCATGCAGTTTTAGAAATTTGACCACTTTGATTATTGGTATCATAAGTTTAAGAATCATAAGATTAATTAATTTTCATAATTTTCTTTTTTATAAATTACATATTTCAGAACCAGCTATGCCAATTAGAAAAGATGGAGAGAGGAAAAGATATGAAGCCAAATTTCAAAAAAGCAGACCATACCAAACCACATAAATAAAGTTTACTTGTCATGAGAGTAGATTGGAAAGCATTTAGAGAACTTGGCATGTATGTGTATTATTAAAATAATAATTTGTTAACATTGTTTACAGTTTTTTTAAGTTACATCTATTTGACTTAGTGATGGAATGATGCTAAAATTTTTAATGATTTAGATACCAATGCTGATTCTATTAAAAAGTCTTGATTCTGATTCTTTTCAAAAGTATAGTGGATGTAGTCTGAGCTTGCAACCCAATCACACTAACTGCATAGTTATTTGGAGGGTTGCCAGATCATTTTCATTCAAAGATGTCAAACATCTTGCATAAGTGTGCAAAATGATACAGCATTTGAGTGTAAAAATTTGCAAGTTGAATTATAACATTAGAATTCAATGACACTTAACATTAACAGTATATTTACAGTAACAGTATATTAACAGTAACTTAACTTCATTTAAAACTCAACAGCAGTTTATTATTTGCTGTAATCAATTGGTCAATTAAAGTTTTCAATGTAGATAAAATATTAAATATAGTAAAATCATTTCAATAGTAAAATTTTGACAGCAGTTTGGACAGAACTGGTAGTCTGCTTTTAATTGTTGTTATTGCTGACAGTATACTAATGAAGAGTTTAACCCTTTGATGAGTAGATTTACTGGTGACTCCCTCGCCTCCCAGAATGAGTTAGTTTTTAAACTAAGCACAGTTCATTTTCTGTCAGAACACAAATTTAAGAATTCAGTTGAAGTGCTAGCAAGTCAAATAATGTTTTGGGGGCCATCTATAATGATCACTTGCTGCTGCCACAACAGTGACATTACCACTGGCATAAAAAGAATTTTAAAAATATTGCACATGCTTGGCTAAAAATATAACATTTACAACAGTGGTTCTCAATCTTTTTTTGTTGATGTACCTTATTAGCCCATTAGTTGTTTCTCAAGTACCCCTTATATTTTTGTATGTAAATTTTATAATTACTGCGTTAGATGTATACAGCCCTCATAATTTGAGCACCATAAAAATACTCTAACTACAGTGGTACCTCAGGATACAAACACCCCAGCATACGAAATTTTCGGGATACAACATGAAATTCAAACATATTTTTTCTCCACGATACAAACAAAAACTCACCATACGATGTTACATTAGTTCGCAGTGCCATTTTTTTTATTCACTTCGGTCTCAGTCCACGTGTTTGCTTCGTCGTGGAAGGATCTCGCTCGATAAAGGAAATCTTGAGATATTATCAGAAAGTGACTGCTTTTATTGAAAAGAAACATCCCGACAAGGTTCACACTGGCCGTATTGCTGCTCGGAGTAATGACATTTGCCTAAGTCATTTTAGAAACATTTTAAAAAGTAGGCAAAGCCAAACTTCTTTGGATAGATATTTTACCAAGCAACCTCTATCCAGTGAAAGTGCTGGTGGAAGTGAAGGAAAGAAAGCAAAAGCAGTGAATAAAAATTTTTAAAAATATATAAAACAACACTAATTTTTTAATCTTTTCTAAGTTATTGTTACATTATGTTATGTAAGTTAAGTTTTAGTATCATTTCCCTTCTCCCATTCTTCTGCCACCAGTTTACCTTTTAGGATAGACGACAGTGGAGGTGTAAAGTGCGAATATAGCTACATTGTTTTTATCAATTATTATTCTATTATGGTTATTTATACATTTACAACTACAAAATGCATTTTTTAGTGTTTTCCTTACTAAAGTTTTTTTTTTTTTTTAATGTACTACTTAGCTTTAATTTGAGTGTGTTTTTCGTGTTGAATTATTTGGTTTTACATGTAATTGTATGAGGAAAAATGATTCACCTTACGATATTTTTATGATACGATCTCAGTTTCGGAACGAATTAATTTCGTATCCTGAGGTACCACTGTATAACTAAAAGTGAATTACTTATTTTATGTAAATAATAATAAATTTAATCAGGTACATACATTTATTTATTATTATTTGATAAGTACAGTAGACCCCCCTATAACGCGGGTTCATATAATGCAGATTTGTATATTGTGGCGAAAAAATTGCGACTGTATTCGTATAAAGACGCTAAAAAAAACTCATAAAATGTGGTAAAACGTCATCACCGACTCATGTCACGATTGGATTGGTCGAATCTGGATCAATAGTGGACGAGCAGCCGAACTACTTACACGCTACAGAGAGTTTAGGTGGGTAAGTTGAGTTTACTATCGTCTGTACAGTATATAGACCTAAATTAGGTACTGTAAGTCTAATACAGTACTGTAATTTTATACATTTCTTGTGGAAAAAACATTTCTTATTCAACGACCATAAAAATGATTTCTATTAATGATGTCTCCAAAGTTCAACAAATTTTTCGCAGAAAAATAACTTATCAGAAAACACGCCCACAGTTTCGTGCGCTGCTCCGCGACAAAAACAAGCTTAAGCAATGGCATCATTGAACGGTGCACACTCGGTAAGTAATCCTACAATTTTTTATTTATAGCATAGTTTATATGGATTATTCCCAAAAAATTATGCGTGTTTTGGAAATATTGAGTCAAATTAGTCTAGAATCGATTAATTTTATGGAAGAAAACTTTTCAAACAGCTGTAAACTGCACACGTGCTGGGCTGTGATTGGCTCATGTATTTAAGGATTCCTACAATGCAAAATTCTTATAAAGCGGAACATATCTACCGTGTTATAGGGGTTGACTGTATATTATATAAAATCATGGAAGTCATTTCAATACATGCATAAATTACATTTCCTAAAAATAAATAATTATAATTAACAATAAAGAAAATTTAAATTATTCTACAATAATTTCTAACAAAATTTAATGTGATATTTGTTGCAATAAATCTTCAGCAATTTTTTCAAAATTTGGTTCCCACGTTGTTAAATAGAGATTATAATTGTGTACTGACCTTGAAAGTAATGGCTGCAAATTTGTAACGTGCATAACAATACATGAATATTTCAATTTTTGTAACAAATGTAACGTCTAAATTTGCTAAATATCAAGTAATATGCGCATGCAGTGGCATGCATTGCATGGTGGGGGTACGATCCAGGCCTCGTTATTCCTAATACCAGTAGTCCAGTAAAAACACAAAGCCCCAATCTTATCAAGCAATAATTATAGAATAGAAAAAATTTTTTTTTCTATTCTAAAATTAATGCTCGGTTAAACTGTAATTTTACTAGACTATAGGTTCACTTGGCACTAACAGCACAAATAGACAGGCAAATCAAGTGGATAAACAAGTTGTTTAGACTGTTAAAAGAGAAATCAGTGTTCACACTGGGATATTTTAAAGCAAGATTTTGTTGTTTCTTGTATTAATAATTTTCAGCAAATTGATTAACAAACACCATTTTATAATGAAAGTTAGATGTACTGTACCCCTTCAATTTATGCTCATACCCCTAGGGGTACATGTATCCCCAGTTGAGAACCACTGATTTACAAAAAATACTAATGTCTCGTCTTTCTATTCATATTTCTTAATAAACTAAACAATACCTGTTTCTGATTCCATTGTTTTTGGTAACCTCAACAAATCAGGATGAGATAGCAAGTAAGTCTACTACAATGAAACAAACTTGAAGAGTGTGAGTGTGTATATATATATATATTCTTATATTATACCTATTTGGGGTTATATTTGGCATAAATTAACCCTTTGATGAGTTCTGTATATATGTGATACATACGGTGGACTTTACAGAGTAAGCACTTATGTATATATATATATATATACATACATGCTTACTCTGTAAAGTCCACTGTATTAATTTATGGCAAGTATAATCCCAAATAGGGTTTAGAATTCCAAACTTTTTTGTGTGCCAAAAAATCCTTTAAAAATGGCAAACCTTATAATACTGGTTACCTGTTAGTTCTGATAGTCTTTTTCTCTTACCACAATTTTGGGTTTTCATGTCACACAGAATACATTTGTTTAATTTTGTATAATGTCTTGACTGGCAATGCAAAATAACTCAATTTGTTCACTAGAAATAAAAAATAAAGTTAATTATTACCTAAAACAAAAAATTAATTTTGTTATTAAATCTTAAAGAATAATTTTAAGAATCAGAATTTATGATAAATTTCTCTCAATACAAATCCTGAGTACTAAAAAATGCTCAATTCTTCCAATTCTTGATACCAATTCATTTAATCATTCCATCACTACTTCATACTAATGAAGGTACTAAGTAGGATAGTAGTAGTCTGTAGTGTTTTTATATATAAAATATTTAAAATATTTTTCTTAAAAGTTTTGAGTAAAATTTTTTAGAGAATGATACAAATGCAGTTACTTTTTGTTTAACAGGCAGAATTAGTTCTGATGATTTCTGTTGTTAAAGAAATCCATCATTAGTCAGGCATATTTATGTATCATAAATATTAGTGATGTAACGAATAGCCGAATATTCGGCCAAACTATTTGGCTTGATTAACGCACGTACGAAAATTGGCGTGCAAAATCGCATTATATGGCAAGGATCGTGCACCCTGTTCTCTATTGGCCCGCTGTCACTACACTTCTTCAATCGCGTTAATTCTTGACAGTTGTAGCGGACAGACATGAGCGTCATGGCAGTATGTTTAACAAATTTCTACTATAC